TAATATATATTTATTATATCACAATATGACGCAACTTTACCATCTCTTGGAAGAAGATATTAACTCCTCATGACATGTACAGTTGTAAACTAAAGTTGCTGACATTATCAGGTTTTTTAAAAAATTTTTGTTGAAGGCTACGTGACTTGTTCAAGAAGCCGGACGAAGGAGAAATTATGTAGCGAGAAAACAGTTTTGATGATCTCTGAATTAGGGTAAATTATGCGAAAATGAATCATCAGATGCAAACTAACTCGAGTTTCCAGATGTGAAAATGAATCATTAGATGCAAACTAACTCGAGTTTCCAGATAGTTCGGAATATCTTGCGAAAAGTCTACTAATTAACAGTGAATTAAACAACGGTTTATTACATGCACAAAAATGTAACACATTCATAACTTTAGCAATTGACTATAGGCTTATCGTCTAATACAGTGGCTCCAGTTAATTTATTCAGTCCCGAAGTGGCCGATTTAAAATTCATCCTGTATACGGAGTGACCTAAATTCAGTTCCTTCACCCTATGGTACATGGGAGTCTGGCCGCACCTACTGGCACACCTCCTATGCGTAGCAAGAGTAACCATCGCCCAGTTCCTAAGCTGTTGCTTTTCCACTGACTTCGAGTTACTACACGTGCTATTGCAGAACAGAGTTTAAATTTACTGTCAAGGAAACATAAGAATAAAGTTGTTTGTTTCTCTGTTGCTTACGGAATGCTTACAACACCGGACTAAGAAAATATATTGTTGTTTTGTACGAAACAAAATTTGTATATTGGCTGTAGAGTTTGGAAAAATTTAAGATAAATATAACTAAATATTCTGTAACCATTACTGAGAAAATATGTGAATATTGACACTTACTAACGCTTCTTAGTTCTGTAATGCACCATAAGGTGTCCTTAGTGATTCCTCAATAAATGCTAAGGCATTCTACATCTTTTCTCCTTATATGCGTAAAGTTCACGGCTTCAAGAAGAATTTATTATACTTGGTCGTCGTCAAAACTTCAGATCATACGTTCTTTTATGAAATTTGAGGTTATCAAGGCAATGAAGATGTTCTGGTTTTGAGGACGTTTGGTCTTGTAGATGGTAAACAGCATTTCGAAGGATCGTGTCGCCTACGTCATTAGGGTAAAGACAAGCTACACGTTCCTCCGAAACGTTAGCAGTCACGTAAAAGACATGGAGGAACAATCCAAGAGACCAACATCGCCTTGCACATACATTTGACCACCCTATAAATATTTGAAGATCACGAATTATGAAGCTTTTTACGTAGTTTTCCCCAGCCTCACGTCTTCCTGTTAGTTATTTTCTAATCTAATTTTATGTTCCTCGGTAGCTAAGATAACTTTTGTTTCTGCTTCTAAACAAAGTTTTTATGGACAATATTGCAAATCAATAATGGAGAGATAGTTTTGAATGCAATTTATCTTACCTGTTTTGTGATACTAGAAATAATAGGCGTAAACGGTTCACAGGTGAGACATTGAGCGGAAAACATATCGAGTGATTTCGTATTCGGAATCTTGATGTTGTATAGTATATATCAGTGGTATTCAACCTGGGGTACGCGAAGACATCTTAGGGGGTACGTGAAATTTTAAAAAAAATATGTTATTT